CACAACATGCTTGCTCTTTGAAGTACTCTTTGGTGCTATAAAATTGAAACGCTTGCTAGACCATAATAGCCAAGCGAATCAGCTCAAAGGTGGGGCTGTTTGAGTCCAGAAGCTCTTGATGCTGGCCCCAATCACGCTGTTTCCTGCCGAGAGACGTGTCTGGGGCCCAGAGTGCAAGGAGCAATCCAGGGCTTGCACATTTGTCTGAGGTGAAATCATCTGGTTGTTGTTTACATGACACAAACCACAGGGCATTGCAAGAGTAGAGAGCAGAGGAAAGAGTTTTTGTCATTGCATCTTCATAGTCACCCCTTCCGCGCCGCCGCCGCAGCTTCGGCTTGGCTACCATCGTCATCCTCATCGTTCATATCCACAAACTCGTCCTCAGCTCCACATTAACTTGAAATGCTGGCAGGCATCCAATGCTTCATTCATGTCGAGAAACCTTGGATGCGCCGCACATTGGGCACTTGAACTTGTCATTGAAGAAGGCCCCCTCCCGTCCCCTGAGGCAAGCATGGCTGCAAGCATCCTGCTGACTGGCACATCAGCTCTCTGAATATGTAAAACAAATCAACCAGCCTCGCTGGGAAGAGAGTGTAGCCACAGCCGCTGCACATGAACATGTGAAGCTCCTTCTGCGCCTTGCTCGCGGTTCCAACTTACAAACGTATTTTCAGCTTAGCACCATGCCTCCTCTGTGCTGGCAATGTACTTGGAATCTACGGATGCGCTGACCTGTCGCAGGCAGCTTAAAGCACGATCTCTTGCACATCTCTTCAAATTAATAGATACTGAAATATGAGCTGCGCAATGCCTTATATTCAAGCGGCACTGAAACGCAACAAAACAAAAAATGGGAGGGGAACAAAACAAGCTCAAGTGATATCCCCAACAGCGCGAGGCACATTTGCGCGCACTCCTCAGAAGCCGCCATGTGCATCCCCAGAACTCGGAACCGCCCCACACATCCCCAGACCCTCCTCCGGCAGTGGAGTGACAGTGGCTTGTGAGTCTTGCAATTCTACTGCCCAAGCGCGCGCGAAACACTACCCATGCTTCCGGTGGCCCCGGTCGCTGCGCTGCTGCCATGTGCAGCGCACAAACTCTCAAAAGGAAGCGACAAGAGTGGAAGCTTGCGTGTCTTTACAGTTTGGCCAGGGAAATGGCCCAGCTCTGCTTCAAACTTAACGCGGCACCCCAAAGCAAAACCAGTGCCCGCGAGGGTTCGCAAGGGAAAATGCGTAGAAGCATGGCACTATCAAGCGCGGTGGGCCCATCTACAGTGACACCGAGGAGTTATTATTGCAGTACAGGGAGAGGCCTTCAAGCACATGATGCGAGCGGATCTCAGGCTGATGAGAGAGCTGGAGGGCGTAGCAAAAGACCCAGTGGGTCGAGCATCCCGGGGGAGCGCTGTACTGACCCTCTTAGAATTCCAGGAGGAGAATGTGCAGAAGCCACGCCTCTTGAACGCGTCGCTGTATGTCCGAAGTCTTTTCTGGGTCACGTCACGAAATCAAGCCCCAGTGTGCCGAACCACTGCGCCTGCGACGCAAACAGACCCGCCGCCCAAGCCGACCGCTGGGAACCAACCAGTCTTAAGTACTGCGCCTGTCACGCAATCGAGGCCCCGCACGTCCAGAGTACTTACACCTGTCACGAAATCGAGCCCCAGTGTGTCCAAAGTGCTGCGCCTGCCACGCAAACAGACCGCCCATGCCGACCGCTCCGAGCAACCAGTGTAAGTTCCTTGAGTGAGAGTAAAGTATGTTTAAATGGAGTGAGTGAGAGTGAGTGTGGGGTAAAGTCAGTGAGTGTAAGTTGAGTGAGTGATCGTAAGTGTGTGTGTGTGTGTGTGGGTGCAGTAGGTGAGAGTAAGTATTTGTAAGTCAGTGAATGTAAGTTGATTGAGTGAGAGTAAGCATGCGTAGGTGGAGTGAGTGAAAGTGAGAGTGGTTGAAAGTCAGAGTCAAAGTTGAGTGAGTGAGAGTAAGCATGTGTAGGCGGAATGAGTGAAAGTGAGAGTGATGGAAAGTCAGTGAGTGTAAGTTGACTGAGCGAGTGTAAGTCTGTGTAAGTCAGTGAGTGTAAGCTGAGTGAGTGCGAGTAATAAGGAGGAGGAGGAGGGAGGAAGGAGGAGGAGGAGGAGAGTGCGACGCGGACAACGACATTAAAAGTAGAAGAACCGCACACAAGACTGTGGGGAACAAACAAACAACCAATCAAGCAAGCAGGCAGGCAGGCAGGCAGGCAAGCAGTCAAGCAGGCAAACAAACCAAAGAACAAGGAAACACGCGAAAGGGTGTGAGAAAGTGAACAAGCAAAACGCCAACACGCAAACCAGGGAACGAGAAAAGTGCAAACACTGCCATTCGATTTCACTCACAGAGTCCTGAAGTCAGCACACGAGCCTGCGCCAGCTTCTCTGTGTTGCCTTTTGTTGTGAGTAGTCTGTAGATCATGGAAGGCAACGCCAGCCCCAAAGGCACCTGGGGCCAAGCTGCACACGACGATCAGGGCGCACAGCAAAGTGATTCTGAGGCGTGAGCCTTCCACCACTTGCCCGTGAAGACTTGGCTGCCCACAATCGTGGCAGCAATCCCCGCAATAAAAGCGATGTTTCGCGCAGCGTCGTGCAGCTGCCTCAGGTTTGGCAAGTTTGGCGCGGGTGCCACAGTGCGAAGCTGAAAGCTGAGGCTTTGCAATCCAAGCGGCTGTTTCTTGAAACCCAGGGAGTCTAGCTTGGAGATCCGCGCGGGCACTGCTGGCTCAGAAGCCATTGGCCCAAGCCGGCCTCGAGCCAGCCAAGAGTCCGAGTCCACCTGCGTCGAACCCCTACGCAAGGCAAACCATCCTCTGACCCAACAAAACACGTTGCGACAGCCTTCAGCCCACTGCCACTGCTCATGGGTGCTGCAAAGCTGTTTCCAAGCGCCACTGCCAAAGCCAGCAGCAATGGCCTGGCCAGACGCCTGCAAGCAGAACTTGAGAAACATGAAAACAAGCTATGGACCCCAGCCGCCCGTAGCTCCAACGGAACCCCTCGCAACCTCATCTAACAACCGCGCATCTGGCACCCCTGCGCAACCCTTGGGAACCCTCCGGAGCTTTGCAACGAGAATGAAGCTCTATAACTCTGTTGCATCCTCCATTCTGGAACCTGCATTCTGCATATTTGGTGAGAGTAGCAAGCTCCATAGAACTTTGCCAATTTAGAAGGAACCCTGCGGCACACTAGCACTGGCCAACATCACTGGCAGACCACTGTAGGTCAGATTTTATTGTGCGACAACATGAAAGCAGGCGACCGGGCACCTTTGCCAACATCTGGAGATCACCTGCGTCATTGCCCGCAAGATGTGCTCGCGCACGGGGCACCCCGCTGCCATTTGGAGCCAAACGGTGACGGGTGGTGTGCTGAATTCCCCAATGGCTCAAGTCGGAAATCATTCAAACATATAGATCGACACAATGACTTCTCCTTCACGAAGGCAGTTTGTGAACGCGCGGTGACGGTGCATGCCACCTCTGTGCAAGCGCAAGTATGTGTGCTGCAAGTGTATGTCTCTCTCGCGACTCGTGCGGTTGCCACGTGTGCTGTAACATGTTTCCAGAAGATCTGAGTCAAATAATTACATAGTATACACACATTCATGAGAACCCACACCCACCAATGACAGCATGCATGTCGCAGAAAGCAGCTTCACGAGAGACCACCCGTCGCAGCAAAGGGAACAGAACACGCATCTACGAGAACACACCCACCACAGAAAGCACATTCATAGTGAACACACATTCATGAAAATCAACACGCAAACATGATAGACTTGACGTCGCATGGAGCACGCTCATAGCAAACACACATTCACACTCAAAGGGAACACGCACTCGTGAGAACCCAAGCATTGTGCAGTTCACACCATGAAGCTCAAAGGTGACAGTAGTCTCCACTTCGGGCCAGTTTTGGTGTCCGTCAATGATTTGGATCATGTACACCCCCAAGATTCGATGTGCGATGCTGCCGTGTCTGTGGAATGAAACAACCGTGTGCGTGTGATTTACAAGCAAAATAGGAAGGTGCTCACAATCTGGCTTCAAGCGGGTGGGCAAAAACCCACAAGGCATGAGGGGTCGCGCTAACTTTGAGAAATGTTGCCTAAAACTGCTCTGTACAAACGCAGGGTGCAAGTATCATCTGCAGAAATGTACTCGGCGAGATTGTGCTCTGTGCAAGGGCGCTCTGCGCACGCATGCAAAAGACAAGCATGGTTCTCTGCGAGCCTGTGCTTCGGAAAAGTGGACTGTTCACGTCGAGCAGCAAGCGTGCTCTGTGCAACCTAGAGTGTCTAGCTCAATCGTGCGCGTGTCCGCGTGTGACATCTTGCCAGTGTGCGACTTTCTCACCTGTTGTGTGCAAGAACATGCTAAGCCTGTGAGCTTCGCTCGCACGTATCACGCGTCATGTCCGGCAGTAAGACCCAGGTATCAAGGACACTGAAAAAACCCTCTATATAGTCACGCATCCCCCAGGGTGAACAAACAGCCACCATTGGGGAGCTGGGATTCGTGGTGCGCAGAGAAGTATTGTGTGTGTGTGTGTGCGTGTCTGCGTCGCAAACAATTCAAGAACTCCATTGACCACCGCAATCCTTGTTGCACAGCTCAAGCTTGACTTTTTTGAGGATCTGGCGCGAACAATGTGCACTTTCCACATCATGTCCGGCTTGTGTGTGTCTTCGGCCCTGGGATCGTGCCCTTTCATTTTAGCAGTATGAACAAGAGTCAAATCCTTGCGGCTCGAACAAAATGGGCAAGAGATCAAGACTCTGGGTGACGCCTTCGACGGCCACTCGGTCAAAGCTCCAGCGCTGTTTAGTCTCGGCCCTGTCTGCATTTCTGTCAACCAAAGGCAATGGCTTCTTAGCCATGCTGGCAGCCTAAGACTTCATAACTGCGCAAGGGACAGTGTCGGAGAGCGGAAACCAGGAAGCCCAAAAAAGGATGTCGCTTGGAAATAAAAAGAAGTCCCGAAACAGGCTGCAATGTGACTTCTCCAAAACACAACACTACGTACATACAAGGAATCACGTGTCTTACAAAACTGTATGGCGCGCGGACACAGATCCATGCAATTCAAATGCACATTGTTAAAAAATATCATCGGAATCCCAGCATGTGGCCGCATTCGCTTTTGGATGCGGTACAAGACTGCCCAATAGGCGTTCATGTGATGCTTCTGGGATTCCTGTTGCAGGTCACCACGGCGCATCGTTCACTCGTTGCGAACCTGGTAGCAGCGCGTCGCTTACTCCACAGCCTAGCAAGGCACAGGTTCTGGTGAAAGTGACACCTCGCGATAAGCCCAAGGGACATCAATATCCACGCAGCTGAGATGTGCATGCCTGCGCATGCGTCTCACTCTCTCTCTCTCTCTCTATCAGAGCTTAATTGATTTTGCCGATGTCCAGTGAGTCGCAATCAAACCTGGTGTTAACATGGTCTACCCAAATCCATTAATAAAACAGGCAGCCGCACCTATTTCTGGCTGGGACTGCCCCTTACTAACCTTCATCTACCGCGGCTTTGATTGTGGCTCCAGTCTTCCTGCCTCTCCCTGCCTCTCTGCTTGTCCGTGAATACCATAGACAGAATGCTGCCTGTTTTCATTTGTATGTCGTGTTGTTGCCGCTTCCTTCAGATTGCCATGGCGAACGTGCAATTTTTGCTGCTTGACACCCATGTCTACCGGATTGCTTTTGCCTCAGCTGTGTATTCAACTCAAACGGCAACCGCAATAGTGAACTTCTGCCTCTCCCATCTCGCCACATCTGGCAACATCACGTTCCGCGTAGAGTCCGCAGCTGCTGCTCGGCCGCCTGGCAAAACACTTCCTTCCTTGCTTAACTCCTTGTTTTCTTTCTTTCTTCTTGCTTGCTTAATCCGTTGCTTCCTTTCTTTCTTGCTTCATTGCTTTCTGGCTTGCATTCTTTCTGGCTTAAATCCTTCTTTCCTTTCTTTCTTGCTTCATTCCTTTCTGGCTTGCATTCTTTCTGGCTTAAATCCTTCTTTCCTTTCTTTCTTGCTTCCTTTCTTTCTTGCTTACTTTCTTGTTTGCTTAAACGTTGCTTCCTTTCTGTCTTGCGCCATTTCTTTCACGCTTGCCTTCTTTCTTGATTAAATCCTTCTTTCCTTTGTTCTTGCTTACTTTCTTGTTTGCTTAAACCATTGCTTCCTTTCTTTTTTGCCTCCTTCGTTTCTTGCTTCCTTTCTTTCTTGCTTGCTTTCTTTCTTGCTTACATCCTTCCTTCCGTTCCTGCTTGCGTGCTTTCTTTCTTGCTTGAACCCTTCCTATCTTTCTTTCTTGCTTCCTTCCTGTCTTGCTTGCTTTCTCGCTTGCTTAAATCATTCCTTCCTTTTCTTCTTGCTTCCTTTCTTTCTTGCTTGCTTTCTTTCTTGCTTAAATCCTTCCTTCCGTTCCTGCTTGCGTGCTTTCTTTCTTGCTTGAACCCTTCCTATCTTTCTTTCTCGCTTCCTTCCTGTCTTGCTTGCTTTCTCGCTTGCTTAAATCCTTCCTTCCTTTTCTTCTTGCTTCCTTCTTTCTTGCTTGCTTCCTTTCTTGCCTGTATCCTTCCTTCTTTTCTTCCTTGCTTCCTTTCTATCTTGCTTACTTTCTTGCTTGCTTAGACCCTTCCTTCTTTTCTTTCTTGCTTCCTTTCTTTCTTGCTTGAACCCTCCTTCTTGTATTTCTTTGCCTTCTTTCTTTCTTGCTTGCTTTCTTTCTTGCTTAGATCCTTCCTTCCTTTCTTTCTTGCTGCCTTTCTTTCTTGCTTGCTTTCTTTCTTGCTTGCTTTCTTTCTTGCTTGTATGCTTCTTTCTTTTCTTTCTTGCTTCCTTTGTTTCTTGCTTACTTTCTCGCCTGCTTGAGCCCTTCTTTCCTTTCTTTCTTGCTTACTTTCTTGCTTGCTTAAACCGTTGCTTCCTGTCTTTCTCGCCTCCTTTCTTTCTTGCTTCCTTTCTTTCTTGCTTGCTTTCTTTCTTGCTTGCTTTCTTTCTTGCCTAAGTCCTTCCTTTCTTTCTTGCTTGCTTTCTTTCTTGCCTGAATCCTTCCTTCTTCTCTTTCTCGCTTGCTTTCTTTCTTGCTTACCTTCTTGTTTGCTTAAACCGTTGCTTCCGTTCTTTCTTGCTACCTTCCTTTCTTGCTTGCTTTATTGCTTACATCCTCCCTCCCTTTCTTTCTTGCTTGCTTTCTTTTTTGCTTGAACCCTGCCTGCTTGTTGTTCTTGCTTTCTTTCTTTCTTGCTTGCTTTCTTTCTGGCTTGAAAGCTTCCTATCTTTCTTTCTTGCTTCCTTTCTTTATTGCTTGCTTTCTTTCTTGCTGCAAACCTTCCTTTCTTTCTTGCTTTTACTTTCTTTCTTGTTTGCTTTCTTGCTTGCCAAAGTCCTTCATTCTTTCCTTTCTTGCTTCCTGTTTTGCTTGCTTGGTTTCTTGCTTTCTTTCTTGCTGGTATCCTTCCTTCTTTTCCTTCTTGCTTACTTTCTTGCCTGCTTAGACCCTTCCTTCTTTTCTTTCTTGCTTCCTTTCTTTCTTGCTTGCTTTCTGTCCGGATTGAAAGCTTCCTATCTTTCTTTCTTGCTTCCTTCCTGTCTTGCTTGCTTTCTCGCTTGCTTGAATCCGTCCTTCCTCTTTTTCTTGCTTCCTTCTTTCTTGCTTGCTTTCTTTCTTGCCCGTACCCTTCCTTCTTTTCTTTCTTGCTTCCCGTCTTTCTTGCTTATTTTCTTGCTTGCTTAGACCCTTCCTTCTTTTCTTTCTTGCTGCCTTTCTTTCTTGCTTGCTTTCTTTCTTGCTTGAACCCTCCTTCTTTTTTTCTTGCTTCCTCTCTTTCTTGCTTGATTTCTTGCTTGCTTGCGTGCTTCTTTCTGTTCTTCCTTGCTTCCTTTCTTTCTTGCTTGCTTTCTTGCTTGCTTAAAGCCTTCATTATTTTCTTTCTTGCTTCCTGTCTTACTTGCGTGGTCTCTGACTTGCTGAAAATCCTTGCTCCCGTCTTTTTTGCTTCCTTTATTTCTCGCTTGCTTTCTTGCTTGCCTTCTTGCTTGCCTGCCTTCCGTGTTTTCTTCCTTTCTTGTCTCCTCTCTTTCTTGCTGGCTTTCTTGCTTGCTCAAAACCTTCCTTCTTTTCTTTCTTGCTTCCTTTCTTTCTTGCATGATTTCTTGCTTGCTTAAGTCCTTCATTCTTTCCTTTCTTGCTTCCTGTTTTGCTTGCTTGGTCTCTGGCTTGCTTCAGTCCTTGCTCCTGTCTTTCTTTCCTCCCTTTTCTTGATGGCTTTCTTCTTCTCTTTCTTCTTGCTTGCTTAAATCCTTGCTTCCCTTTTGCTTGCTTCATTTCTTCCTTGCTTGCTCTCTTGCTTCCTTGAATCCTTCCTTCCTTTCTTTCTTGCTTCCTGTTTTTCTTGCTTGGTCTCTGGATTGCTTGAATCCTTGCTCCCGTCTTTCTTTCTTCCGATATTTCTTGCTTGCTTTCTTGCTTGCTTTCTTGCTTGCCTGCCTTCTTGGTTACGTTCTTTCTTGTTGCCCTTCTGTCTTGCTTGCTTTCTTGCTTGCTTCAACCCCTGCTTCCGTTTCGCTTGCTTCATTTCTTTCTTGCTTGCTCTCTTGCTTCCTTGAATCCTTCCTGCTTGTCTTTCTTGCTTCCTGCTTTGCCTGCTTCGTCTCTGGCTTGCCTAAACCCTTGCTCCCGTCTTTCTTTCTCTTGCTTGCTTTCTTGCCTGCTTTCTTGCTTGCTTGCCTTTGCGCTTCCTTTCTACGCTTGTTTCCTTTCTTTCTTGCTTGCTTTCTTGCTTGCCTGCTCAAACCCTGCCGCCTTCCTTTCTTGCTTCCTTTCTGTCTCGCTCCCTCTCTTTCTTCTTTTCTTTCTTCTTGCTTGCTTAAACCCTTGCTTCCCTTTTGCTTGCTTCATTTCTTTCTTGCTTGCTCTCTTGCTTCCTTGAATCCTTCCTTCCTTTCTTTCTTGCTTCCTGTTCTTTTTCTTGGTCTCTGGCTTGCTTACATCCTTGCTCCTGTCTTTCTTTCTTTCGTTCTTTCTTTCTTTCTTTCTTTCTTTCTTTCTTTCTTTATTTTGCTCTTTCGTTCTTTCGTTCTTTCGTTCTTTCGTTCTTTTGTTCTTTCGTTCTTTTGTTCTTTCTCTTTCTTTCTTTCTTTCGTTCTTTCTTTTCTTTCTTTCTTTCTTTCTTTCTTTCTTTCGTTATTTCGTTCTTTCTCTTTCTTTCTTTCTTTCTTTCTTTCTTTCTTTCTTTCTTTCTTTCTTTCTTCTTTATTTCTTTCTTTTCTTCTTTATTTCTTTGTTTCCTTCTTTCCTTCTTTCTTTCTTTCTTTCTTTCTTTCTTTCTGTATTTCTTTCTTTCTTTCTTTCTTTCTTTCTTTCTTTCTTTCTTTCTTTCTTTCTTTCTTTCTTTCTTTCTTTCTTTCTTTCTTTCTGTCTTTCTCTCTTCCTCTCTTCCTCTCTTCCTCTCTTTCTCTCTTTCTTTCTTTCTCTCTTTCTCTCTTTCTCTGTTTCTTTCTTTCGTTCTTTCTTTCTTTCTTTCTTTCTTTCTTTCTTTCTTTCTTTCTTTCTTTCTTTCTTTCTCTCTCTTTCTCTCTTTCTCTCTTTCTCTCTTTCTTTCTTTCTCTCTTTCTTTCTTTCTTTCTTTCTTTCTTTCTTTCTTTCTTTCTTGCTCTCTTTCTTTCTTTCTTTCTTTCTTTCTTTCTTTCTTTCTTTCTTTCTTTCTTTCTTTCTTTCTTTCTCTCTCTCTTTCTTTCTTTCTTTCTTTCTTTCTTTCTGTCTTCTCTATTTCTTTCTTTCTTTCCTTCTTTCTTTCTTTCTTTCTTTCTTTCCTTCTTTCTTTCTTTCTTTCTTTCTTTCCTTCTTTCTTTCTTTCTTTCCTTCTTTCTTTCTTTCTTTCTTTCTTTCCTTCTTTCTTTCTTTCTTTCTTTCTTTCTTTTTTTCTTTCTTTCTTTCTTTCTTCTTCTCTATTTCTTTCTTTCTTTCTTTCTTTCTTTCTTTCTTTCTTTCTTTCTTTCTTTCTTTCTTTCTTTCTTTCTTTCTTTCTTTCTTTCTTTCTTTCTTTCTTTCTTTCTTTCTCTCTCTTTCTCTCTTTCTCTCTTTCTTTCTTTCTCTCTTTCTTTCTTTCTTTCTTTCTTTCCTTCTTTCTTTCTCTCTTTCTTTCTTTTCTTCCTTCCTTTCCTTCCTTCTGTATTTCTTTCTTTCTGCTTTCTTGCTTTCTTCTGGCTTGCTTTCTTGCTTGCCTGCCTTCTTTCTTCCTTTTCTTTCTATTCTCCTTCCTTTCTTGCTCGCTTGCTTTCTTGCTTGCTTGCTTGACCTTGCTGCCTTCTTTTCTTGCTTCCTGTCTTGCTTGCTTGACCTTGCCCCCTTTCTTTATTGCTTTGTTTCTTGCTTGCTTTCTTGCTCGCTGAAACACTTGCCTCTGTCCATTCTTGCTTCGTTGCCTTCTTACATGCTTTCTTGCTTGCTTGAACCGTTGCTTCCTTTCTTTCTTGCTCGCTCTCTTGCTTCCGTTTTTCTTGCGTGGTTTTTTGCTTGCTTCAATCCTTACTTCACTGCTTTATTGCTTCCTTTCTTTGTTGCCTGTTTTGTTGCTTGCCTGAATCCTCACTTCCTTTCTTTCTGGCGTCCTGTATTTCTTACATGCTTTCTTGCTCGCTTAAGCCCTTGCTTCCTTTCTTTCCTGGTTCCTTGCTGTCTTGCTTACTTAAAATACTTGCTTTCTTTTTTCTTGCGTCCTTTCTGTCTTGATGCTTACTTCCTCTTTCTTGCTTGCTTGCTTGCTTGCGTAAGCCCTTGCTTCCTTTCTTTTTTGCTTTGCTTTCTTGATTGCTTTCTTGCTTCCTGAAACCCTCGCTTTCTTTCGCTCTTGCCTTTTCTTTCTTGCCTGCTTTCTTGCTTGCTGAAGCTCTTGCCTCCTTTTCCTTCTTGTTTGTTCTCTTACTGCTTAAACCCTTGCTTCCTTTCTTTCTTGCTTCCCTTCTTTCTTGCTTGGCTTCTTGCCTGCTTAAATCCTTGATCCCTTTATTTCTTGCGTCCTTTCTTCCTTGCTTGCTGTCTTGCTCGCTCGCTTTCTTGCTGGTGAATTCGTTGCCTGCTTGCTGGCTTTCTTGCTCTCTTAAACCCTTGCAACGTTTGCTTGCTAGCTTGAACGCTTGCTTGCTTGAACGCTTGCTTGCTGGCTTGCCCGCTTGCCCGTTTCACTGCTTGCCTGCCTGCTTGCCTGCTTGCCTGCCTGCCCGCCAGCCCGCCAGCCTGCCTGCCTCCTGGCTGCCAGCCTGCGCCTGCCTGCCTGCGCCTGCCTGCCTGCGCCTGCCTGCCTCTGCCTGCTGGCCCTGCCTGCGCGCCTGCCTGCGCGCCTGCGTGCGCCTCCCTGCCTGCCTGCTTGCTCGCTTGCTTGCTTGCTTAATTTTGTTTGCTCCCTCGCGCGCTTGCGTGCTTCCTTGCTTGCTTCTTTTCTTGATTGCTTGCTTCCTTGCTTGCTCGCGCGCTTGCTTGCTTCCTTTGTTTCTTGCTTCCCTTCTTTCTTGCTTGGCTTCTTGCCTGCTTAAATCCTTGATCCCTTTATTTCTTGCGTCCTTTCTTCCTTGCTTGCTGTCTTGCTCGCTCGCTTTCTTGCTGGTGAATTCGTTGCCTGCTTGCTGGCTTTCTTGCTCTCTTAAACCCTTGCAACGTTTGCTTGCTAGCTTGAACGCTTGCTTGCTTGAACGCTTGCTTGCTGGCTTGCCCGCTTGCCCGTTTCACTGCTTGCCTGCCTGCTTGCCTGCTTGCCTGCCTGCCCGCCAGCCCGCCAGCCTGCCTGCCTCCTGGCTGCCAGCCTGCGCCTGCCTGCCTGCGCCTGCCTGCCTGCGCCTGCCTGCCTCTGCCTGCTGGCCCTGCCTGCGCGCCTGCCTGCGCGCCTGCGTGCGCCTCCCTGCCTGCCTGCTTGCTCGCTTGCTTGCTTGCTTAATTTTGTTTGCTCCCTCGCGCGCTTGCGTGCTTCCTTGCTTGCTTCTTTTCTTGATTGCTTGCTTCCTTGCTTGCTCGCGCGCTGGCTTGCTTCCTTTCTTTCTTGCCTGCAGTCTTGCTTGCTTGCTCGCTTGCTTGCTTGCTTCCTTTCTTGCTTGCTTTTTTGCTTGCTTAAACCCGTGCACGCTTGAATCCTTGGTGCCTCGCTTCCTTGCTTCCTTGCTTGCTTGCGCGCTTGCTTGTTTCATTTCGTTTTCTACCGCTTGCTGCATTGCTCGCTCTTCCTGGCTTTCTTGCTGGCCTCCTTGAACCCCTTCTACCTTGCTTCCTTGTGCTTGCTTACATCCTCGCTTCCTTGTTTGCTTGACTGCTTGCTTGCTCCCTTGCTTGCCTCCTTGCTTGCCTCCTTGCTTGCCTCCTTGCTTGCCTCCTTGCTTGCCTCCTTGCTTGCCTTGCTTGCTTGCTTGCTTGCTTGCTTGCTTGCTTGCTTGCTTGCTTGCTTGCTTGCTTGCTTGCTTGCTTGCTTGCTTGCTTGCTTGCTTGCTTGCTTGCTTGCTTGCTTGCTTGCTTATCCCTGTTTCCTCGCTTGCTTTTCTGCTTGCTTGCTTGCTTGCTTGCTTGCTTGCTTGCTTGCTTGCTTGCTTGCTTGCTTGCTTGCTTGCTTGCTCGCTCGCTTGCTTGCTTGCTTGCTTGCTCGCTTGCTTGCTTGCTTGCTTGCTTGCTTGCTTATCCCTGTTTCCTCGCTTGCTTTTCTGCTTGCTTGCTTGCTTGATTGCTTGCTTGCTTGCTCGCTCGCTCGCTCGCTCGCTCGCTTGCTTGGTTTTGCTCGCTTGCTTGCTTCATTTTGCGTGCTTGCTTGTTTGCTTGCTTGCTTACTTGCTTGGTCCCTTGCTCGCTTCCTTGCTTGCTTCCTGGCACCTTTCTTCCTTGCTTGCTTCCTAGCTTGCTTGATTGAACGCTTGCTTCCTTGCTTGCTTGCTTGCTTGGCACCTTGCTTCCTAACTTCCTTGTTCCTTCCTTGCTCGCTTCCTTTCTCGCTTGCTCGTTCGCTTCGTTGCTCCCTTGCCTCCTTGCTTCGCTTCTGCCTCGCTTCCTTGCTTGCTCGCTTCCTTCCGTCTTGCTCGCTTGCTGCCTTGCTTCCCTGCCTCCTTGCAGCCTTTCTTTCTCGCTTGCTCGCTTGCTTCCGTGCCTCCTTTGCTTTCGTGCTTCCTTGCTTTCTTGCTTCCACCCTTGCTCGCTTCCTTCCTTGCTTGCTCGCTTGCTTCCTTGCTTGCCTGCCTTCTTGCTTCCTTGCTCGCTTGCTTGCTTGATTGAAACCTTGCTTGCTTGCTTTCTGGAATTCTGACTTCCTTGCCTGCTTGCCTGCTTGCTTGCTTGCTTCCTTGCTCTCTTGCATCCTTGCTTCCTTCGGTCCTGGCTTGATCGCTTGCTTCCATGCTTCTTTGCCTCCTTGCTTAATTGCCTCACTCCTCGCTCAATGGCTTCCTTTCTTGCTTGATCCTTGCGTCCTAGCTTGCTAGCTTGCTTGCTGACCTGCTTGCTTGCTTGCTCGCTTGCCTGCTAGCTTTGCGAGATTTCTTGCTTCCTTGCTCGCTTGCTCGCTCGCTCGCTCGGTTGCTCGGTTGCTTGCTTGCCTCCTTGCCTCCTTGCCTCCTTGCCTCCTTGCCTCCTTGCCTCGTTGCCTCCTTGCCACCTTTCTTTCTCGCTTGCTCGCTTGCTTCCTTCCCTGCCTCCTTGCTGTCTTGCTTCCCTGCCCGCTTGCTTCCATCCTTCCTTGCTTGCTGGCTTCCTTGCTTCCTTGCTTGCTCGCTTGCTTGCCTCCTTGAACCTTTGCTTCCTTGCTTGCTTCCTTTCTTCCTTGCTCCCTTGCTCCCTTGCTTCGTTGCTTCCTGGCTTCCTTGTTTCCTTGCTTCCTTGCTTCCATCCTGCTTCCCGCTTGCTTGCTTCCTTGCCTTCTTGCCTCCTTGCTCGCTCATTGGCTTCCTTGCTTTCTTGCTTCCTTGTTTTCAAAGGCCAATTCTTCTTGCTTCCATTCTTTTACGCGTCCTTCCTGCCTCCCTTGCTGCCTTCCCTGCTTGCGTCCTTGCTCCTTGCTCCCCAGCTTTCTTTCTTGGATTCTTCCTTGCTTCCTTGCTTTCTTCTATGCTTTCTTCCTTGCTTACTTGGTTGAATCCTTACTTCCTAGCTTGCTTGCTTCGCTGCCTCCTTGCTTCCTGGTGGCTTCCTTTCTTTCGCGTTCTTGCTTCCTGCCTCCCGTGCGTCCTTCCTTGCTCGCGTCCTTGCTCCCTTGCATCCCAGCTCCTTCCTTCCTTCCTTCCTTGCTTCCTTGCTTCCTTGCTTCCTTGCCTTCCTTGCTTCCTTGGCTTTCTTGCTTCCTTGCTTCCTTGCTTCCTTGTGTCCCTGCTTCCTTCCTTCCTTTCTCTTTCGCTTGTTTCCTTCCTTGGCTTCCTCCTTTGCTCGCTTGCTTGCTTCCTTGCTGCTCCCTTGCTTCCTTGTTTCCTTCCTTGCTTCCTTGTTTCCTTCCTGGCTTGCTTGTTTCCTTCCTGGCTTGCTTGCTTCCTTCTGTGCTTCCTTCCTTGCTTCCTTGCTTGCTTCCTTCCTTGCTTCCCGGCTTCATTGCTTGCTTGCTACCTTGCTTCCTTCGCTTTCTTGTGTGCCTGCTTCTTTGCTTCCGGACACAAAGGCAACGCGGCTTTGTTTGAGCAATTGGAGCCATGCTTCTTGGGGTCTACATTGTGCACATGCAAACTTAACCTGTAAGCATCGAATACCAAGCAACACAAAATCAAGCCTTGGGACTGCCGCCTTCCACACATCTGTGGGCAACTTAGCACGCCTCAAGTTGTCCCTGCAACTGGGTGACTTGCTCCTGCAAGCTGCACGACGATGACAGCTGCGCCTGCTCCTGACATGCTCACATCCCCTTCAGCAGCTTTCACACTGCATAACGAAGCTCAACCTCACAAATAGCTTTTGCCCTGCCCAAAGCTGCTGCAAAGCCCGTCCCAGCACTTCTTGCCGAAGCTTGCCGGATACCCTTTGGACAAGGCGAAGTCAACAAACTGCTTGTACCTAAGCATAAAAAACCTATTTGACAGCAAACAAGCTTGTCGAGCAAGTGCACACATCACTCACCACGCACGGCAGCCGCCACCAAATGAGCTTGCACAGTGCTGGCACAGCGTCGTGTAGAGAGCACCGCTGCTGTCATTCGGATGCATACGCCGTTCGGTGTCTTCGTTCTCCTGCACATGGGATTTCAGAAGTCAAGAATGCATGAAGTGTATTGAAATGTGCCCATCATGTGGCCATCTACAAGAATGCGTATGCTTCCAGTACCTCTGCTGCAACTTGAGAAATGCAAAGACCTTGCCAGAGAATGGATATTTACAACCTATCTGTCTGCATCTGCAGCAGAACAAATGGCTTGCATGCGACTAAGTTTGGGGTCCACAGCCGCACAAATTGTTGCTCTGCGGGGAGAAAAGTTCTTCCCCATAAGTTGTTGAAAGATTGAAATGTTGACAGAAAGTCAATAAGTTTGCCCATGTCACTGTTCAAACTCGTTTGCCAGCTCTGCGCCTCCCTAAGGTTGAAGGGCCCACCAAGGGGATGGGGATAATCTCGTCCCAGCTCGCAGCCACCTGGAACACACATATATACTCACATTGTCCAATCCATGATGGGCCGGGGCCTCATTTCACCATCCCCTAGTGCTCTGCAGCTTTCACACTGTGCGTCAAGCCGCATCGCGAAGCAAGTTCGGCAGACATTTTCCAGGGCTCGTGGATGTGGGCGGCATCGACCTTCGACAGCTCCGGCAACCAGCGTCGAAGATATTCCCCAGCGGCGTCATTCTTCCTAGCAAGGTGGGTTGTGCTCAGATTGGCGAACGTTCTCCAACATCCACATTGGCGAAGAGAAAACCAAAATTCAAGAGGCGTATCTTACCAACCATGTACTGGCGCATTTTGTTCGGAGTGTGTCCTCTTGGAGCGGAATTGAATGCCCTTTCGGTTGCACTTCATTAAGAACGTTGACTCGGCCAAGAGTCTTCTCCGCACTCAATTTCCACTCGAACTCCTCCTTCTTCCATGCCGCAAGGTCTTCCACAGATTTAAAGCCATGTGCACCACGGTTGCTCTTGTCCACCTTCAATTGCCCCATGCGAGAAAAGCGAAACAATGGCAATCAGTGTCGTCGACAGAGACCGAAAGGAAGAATTTGAACTGGATCAAAGAAACAAAATGGCACAAAAAATAGGAAACGGAAGAACACCCATGGGGTGCAAGTATCAAATGCAACGAAACCGAGGGACGAAATAATAGTAATAATAATAATATGAGAAGAAGGATTGGACAGCTTCAACTTTTGCACTGAAAGGAAGGAAGTATATCGAGGACCAGAGGACAAAGCAGGCTGCAGCACTTTGCAGCAAGAGTTGCTCCCGTGCGCGGTGCAGCTGACAAAGCAAAAGTGCGAGGAAAAAAAAGAAAAAGAAAAAAGGTGAGAAAAAAAGGAAGAAAAAAAGCATCGCAGCTAGAATGCTCAATTAGACAGCGATGGTGTTGTTTCTGCGTATTCAAATCCTTCATGATTCACGCGTTCGTCCTCATTCGTGTCCAAAATGTGCAAATTGCGAACATGGCTGAGCGTGAACTGTCGACTTGTAATGGGGAACTCGACACTCACTGACTTGATGCTGGCTTCTCAAAGACACTGCAGGCCATGATACACCTGTGCCATTGACATGTTGCTAGGCCACAATCTCTCCGTGATGCCCGCCTCTGCCACCACCACCCAATTCCCGTAGTTCATAGCCACATCGTAGTCCAGAAGCACCTCCTCAAAGTGGAAAGCGCCAATTCGCCAATCCTTCGCTGGGAACATGAAGCGTGGTGAGGTTGGTGCAAGGTTGGACTTGTAACAGGCCAATCTCACCTTTGCAAGAAGCATAAGGCAACAAAGCTGATCACCTTGCAATTAAGCTTCCAAACCCAAGATGAAGACAAAATAGAAGCCAACTGTCTTGCGGCCTGACCGCATTCTAGGTGCCTACTGGGTGCCCGCATGTACGCAGTTCTTGATATCCCTCGGTCAAGCCCAGCTACCTATTGATGCCACCAAGACAAGGCCAAGTGGTCCCCCCATCGGTGCACCTTTGTAAGCAAGCCAGCCCGTCTGCTGGAGCTCCCGCATGCATGCATCCACATAGGGCACGCCAGTCCGCCCTGCCTTGCAAGGATTCTGCCAAACTGTTTGTAGGATTGTGGGATCCGTTAAGGTTGCACCCAAAAACAAGTTCAAGCTCAGCATCTCGCAGCTTGTCCCTGCAGTAATCTCAAAAGCCCACATGCAGAATCAATGGCGATATCCACAGTTTTGTGAGAGCTGGGGCTTTGGAAGTGCCGAAAGCAATGCCTGGCACGGAATTCTTGACTTGGGCAACCCGCACCTTCCATGCCTCCACTGCAGCGGTGTCCCAGGACCAGGGCCTCTCCACACGGCCTGGGCCCTGCAGCCAAAAGAGCCGCCGGCCCCACCTGGCGCACAATGTTTGACCCATCCGCTGACCCCAGGACGGGTCTAGAGTCAGTTTGGGCACGAGTTGCGTCTACAACTGTTAATATGTTTGTTCGGCTAGTGTCTCTCCCTGCCGAAACATGATTTTTCCCGGCTTGGTAGTTTTTTTGGGGGGGGGAGGTCGGTGGGGCATTTCTTGTTTTCTTGCTTTGTTCCTTCAACACAAGTCCACTCATGCACCGATATGTTCGCTGCTATTTGATTCTCAACCATGATGTGCATTTCGTGCATCCACTTTCCTGCGCATCATCGCTCAAAACCAGAGCTGTTCTAACCAGGCACTGTACGCTTGCTTTCTCTTCGCGACAGTTGTCAATTAAACCAGGATACATCCAGGGCAGTACAGGAGGCCAAACTCCGGGTTAGTTGGAAGGACCCTCAGGGACATCCTCCCTCACTGCCCATTCGACCAAGGTATCCGGCATGTCAAAGTAAGTGTTTTCGTGTTCTGAGAAACATCCACACATCTCCACTCGTATGGCAGAATCAGACAATAAAGGAGACGCCCCCCCCCTCCAGGCGTCAGTGGTGCCGCAGGTCTCTGCACGCCCCGCGAGGATATGACCCCCCAACACACTTTTGGAAACGGACCTTTGACATTTTGCGCTCCTAAGGTTTGCTTCACTGACCGGCGTGTTCAGTTTGAGCAAGCTTTGCTTTCAGCCATGTTTTTCAATCTCACATGCCTGCCACATTTTTCAGAGATCCCCAAAAACAACTTGTTGCCTTTCACCTCGCCTGTGACCAAAATCCCCCCATGGCAAACAAGTGCCTGTTCAGGGTGCAGTTTGACCCGCGAAAGCCATGCTTTTGTTGAGTTCCTGCAGTACATGTGCAGGGAACCCGCATACTATTCCTTCTTCTTTGCGTCAGTGCAGCGTGCTGCGTATGCATGGCAGCTGGCCCCCGGCGATGCTACGGATTCTACACTGGCCGCGGCCTGCGTGTGGCCACACACATGTCTACAATATCCTCGTATTTACAGCTCTGTCAATTTGTATCTTGGTCAATACTCGAAAAAGCTCTAGGCACGCAGCCAAGTTCCCCAACTGCTTTTCATGCAATGGGCTTGCGGGCAATCAGTGCCACCATGCAGCTCATTTGAATGTGAATCAGCGCTATCTTCTTGAAGCTCGGTTGAAAGGGGCTCTTGCACTGCGCAATTTCTCTAGGGAATGGTCTGCACCATCCTTCTGGTTGAGCAGGCGAGCATCAATCGCCAGCTAAAGCTATGAAAGGCGCGTGGCTGCTGCTTGGCTGGGCGGCTGGCGGCGCTCTTATGGCCGATAGCGCAGCCGGTGTGCGTCAGCATTGCAATCCCTTGGCAGTGTACTACGACACTCTTTGAAGTGTGTTGAAATGTGATTGTGCGCAACTGACTGCTCCAAAAGGCCCCAAACACAGTCAGCTTCGACCAGCCTGATGGCGTTGAAGCGGTGGAGCTCTCTCCAAAGCAGGCGATGAGCAACACCGTTATAATTTGGCGATTCTTCAGCACGAGCCAAGATCTCCTGAACTGCAAAGTGGCCAAAGTGGCGGGCCGGCCAAACTCAGGCGACAAATTGGGCTCATGGCAGCTCTATGCTTGCAACTTCAGCGACGCAGGGATTAGTTGCTAGCATGGCTCTCTAGCAGAGATGCAGCCCACGGCCATGTAATGCGACACCTGAGCTTGGGAAAGCTTCCTCAGTGCAAAGAAAGTGCCCCTTGTTTGCAGCAAACAAATCCGAAAGCCGAAACCATAAAAAGCCAGCAGCACAGCATGTTCAAGGCTCCTACTTCCAGCATTTACAAGGGAGCCTTCTGCAAAAGGGAGAGCCAAGCGCCATCCATGGGTTTGGCTGCGTTGGGCTGCCAGAAAGAGGAAAAGGAGGAGGAGGAGTAGGAGGAGGAGGAGGAGGAGGAGGAGGAGGAGGAGAGATGTTGCTGCTCTGACAACTTGAAGGATGGAGGACCACATTTGCATTTGCAATAGGAGCGAATGGGAGCTTCGTGTTGCATTCAGTTGCAGAGAGGCCCTTGATAGCTGTCTGTTTGGCCCTACGCCTCCGGGAACTTGGTGCCGATGTCTGTCCTCTCCTGAAAAAACTGGCCTCTTCACTTTACGAGGAGGTCATGGAAAGGAGAATGGTACGCCATTATAGCTTCCTTGATGTTGGGGCAGGCTGCAACTTATAATTCTTTTGTGGTGGCCCGACCTCCATGAAGTGTCCAGAACTGGAGTCATATGCAGCTGTTCCTGGGAAGGATTGGTGAGCCACAGTCAAGTGTCCTCCGGCTCCTTTAGCGGTTGCTGTCCAAGTTCTGGGTCTAGCTCTGGCGATTCTCCATCTCTAAGAAGCGTCCGCCATTTCCACAAGTCAGCCATGGCATCATGGACTAATTCGGAAGTTAACTACATTACCTCCTGCAAGCCTTGCTCACCAAGCCACGCGCAACCAGCCATCAGGACGGGCCAAATTCGCCCACTGCAGAGCATCATGGCCCTTTGTGACGCCACCCGTGGGCAAATCCCAAAGGACTGGCTCGACAAGATCCTGAAAGCATGGAGCATGCAAGTATTTTCTTCCTTCACCGATGTTGCGTGGCAGTGTCAAACGCTTGCCCAAGCAGTCTGTGCGTGTTCTGATTGCCGTTCGTGTTCAGTGCATCCAATGAGTGCATCCATTGCGCAGGCCTTTGGCTCACCTTCTTCGCGAAGCCACTTCTCCAGCCAGTCGCGCGCAGCTACCTCACCACCCGCAGGCAACTTCTGCACCATGGCCTCCGAAGCACGTACCAAGTCTCACTCAGCCTGACTCTGTGTCAGTAGTTCTGCCTCACTCAGCCTCCTCACTCTGCTACCATGCCTCACTCTTCCTCGCTCTTCGCTCTTCCTCAATCTGTTACCCGGCTATCTGTAGGACTCTTTCCACCTGCCTCCTCCACCTCCTCTGGGCTGTAGCCTAGCATCTTCAGCGCTTCCTGAAGGCATCCAAAACAAGAGGTCAGCTCCATGCAATCAATTGTCCCAAACACCAGCTACAGAACACCAGTGTTGCAAGAACGAGCAGCATCTACTTTGCAAACGGTGTGACCATATGACATGGCCGAGCAGAGGTCCAGTCGGAATCACGAAAGTCAAGCGACGCGATCATCCGCCAGAACGGCAGCAGGCATTATGCCAGGAAGCTCGACATCTGGAGCCTGCAAGGACTACAAAAAACAGAAGCGTGCTGCAAGCACAGGTACAACTTGGTGATATCCTGATAAGCAAGGAATTGGAAATCACAATGGGCTATAGGTGACAAACCTAGACAAAAGCATCAAGAGGAAGAAAATGGAAGAAAAACATGTTACGTGTTGATCAAAATTCAGACATACCTTCTAAGTTGAAGGATAGAAAAGCTAGTCGCGTTGCTACTGCATTCTAGCATCGCCAGCATCACTGACATCATCAGCATCATCAGCATCACGAGCAGGCCTGCTGATTGGCTATTTTCTGTGCAAAGGTGGCGCAGTGACATCCTTGCAGAGCAGGTCATCGCATGGGTCGAACAGCTTGGCCCCATATTTTGAACGGATGGAAGAATGGACAGGATGGATGGATGGACAGCCACACGGAGAAATGGACAAACTGATGGATAGAAGGATGTATGGATGTATGTATGTATGTATGTATGTATGTATGGATGGATGGATGGATGGATGGATGGATGGATGGATGGATGGATGGATGGATGGATGGATGGATGGATGGATGGATGGATGGATGGGTCGGGTCTACGATTTTCACCGCGCGCAAAACACTCAGGCATACAAGTGTGACGCGGGAATGGGGGGGATCCAAGGCTTTTCTCAGGGCCCACTGCAACAGCCCTTAATATAAAGCAGGGGTTGGAACGGTTGGAACAGGTTTGCTCAGGACCCCTTGCAGCAGTCAGTTTAAAGAAAAGCAGAAACTCTTGCAGGTTCCATGTCCCATGCCTGTGGCAGCCGCTGGGGTGCTGCTACAGGTGAGCGGATGGGTGTAGCACCAGGCGTTCGACCGGGTGAACGCCAGAGGTCCTTCGTCGATGTTTCTGGATGCGTCCACTACTGGAAAGTTGATCAGCACCAGTCCTCCCAGCCCAAGGTCAGGGCCAGCTCAGTGTAGTTGCCAGGAGCTTCACCCACTCTAAACGGGAGATCCTACCAGGCACTGAGAAGGTGAGTAACAAACATGCAGTGAAATAGAAGTCCGCCTTACCCGACTGTCCTTTCGATGGTACAAGCTCATTGCACCCCATTTGCGCCAGATCTCACCATGCTTGTCTGCAAGAGCTGCAGCCACACCATCTTCCACATCCGTTTGCTCTGGAGAAACTGGCTCCTTGGATATGTTCTACATTCGATTATGAAACCTTCTATGTCAATTGTGCAATCACCTCTTTGCTTGTGGTTCAAAATCGCCATCCAAGTCACGCTCTGACACAGCACCAGGGATCCCGTGGGAAGTGAAGCCAAGACCTCCTCAGGCTTGCCATGGCATACCTGAATTTGCAAGAATGGGCAAGCCGCAGTGCAAGATTCTGATTCTGCGTATGCAGCTGGACCTACATCTATCCTCCGATAGGAAATGGGATATGCTGAAACTGAAAATACACACACATACACACAAGTGTTCGGAAAGACTACTGCAGAACTGGCACCAACAAGCGGCTGCCGCTTGCTGAAAGTGCGTTGCTGATGCAGCGGACGCACTGAAGCCAGAATCGCGCTCGCAGAGCATTCGTTTTTCGGCTGCCAAAGTCAACCTCGACGGCAATTGCTGCATGGTAGCAGGCGAAACCAGACTTAAGCCTCTCAGCAGCAAGAATGTAATTCAGCTGCCAGCAAACACAACGTCAGGAATCTGAAAGCTGTGTCGATGGAGCCATCCTTGCAAAAAGGGCAACCCACTCTTATCAATCTGCTGATTTTGAAGTCTAGATGATCTGGTCAAGGCGCAGGTTTGCGGGTGGAGATCGACTTCTTGAAGTCAGGATCTGTCACGCGCCCATATGGCGAACCTGATTTTAGTAGATGTACCCGTGTAAAAGTGCACAAGATTAAAAAAAAAAAAGAACATTGCAGTCAATTAGAAATGAAGGGCGAAAGTGTGATGGCTGCTTTTGCCGCGACACGATCCAGAAATCGAGGATCAAAGATAAAGATCGGCAATAGTGGGCGCTGGTCTGTCAAGGCTTCTGCGACTGCAGCTCGAGCAACTGGGTTGTCCTGCAGCTAATGTTCAGGTCTGGCTGAAAAACAAGGCTGCGGTTTGGTGGAGAATCCCATGGAGGTGGCATGACTCAGCATCCAGCCCTACCCTACCCCAAAGCCCAACACGGCAGCGGCCTGCCTCCAATCGAAGATCATTTCGCAGCCACCACACGACAGGTCCAGCAACACGGGGCTTCTTCCAGGCCGGCGCAAGCGCCATGACGATGCAGCTTGCCAAGCTAATCAAGCTCGTCAACAAGATATATTCTTTCAATATTGTGTCTGCTTGACTTCCTGGCAAAAGAAGCATTGACCTTGCGGCTCAAACGCTGCAAACGCACAAGGCAGCAGCGGCAAGCTCGTCTCAAATTGGCACTTCATGGTTCTCTGTTCTGTTTGAGAGCAGCATGCAGCTTGGTGTACTTGATGCTGCTTGTCTGGCATCTACAATGCTGTCTTGTAGTTTTCAGCACAGCTCGGGATCTGGCCCATGGTGGACGAAACTATGCCCTGTTGTGGCACATCTTCGGGCAAGACAAGACGCGGCTGGATCCACTCAGGCGTTGCGAGCTGATGTCTGCCATCGCGGTGCCTTCGCCAACATAGAGCGGGTTATTGATGAAGTACGAAGCTGACTGTATGCAACTCAAGTTTTTGTTTCCGTCCAATGCGAGCAGGTCTCTCGGCATGGAGATGCAGGCCTGTGCTGCTCTGTGCTTTGGCACGTGGTTTTTACAACCTCAGTCAGATTCAGATGTAGTCATGCAACGCATCGCAACATCTAGGGTATGGATGATACTCAACAAACAAGTCCGAAGCAGACTGAAGGAGCAGGGTACTTCCAGCAAAATCAAACATTTCGCGTAAATCAAGTTAACGAACTAGCCAGAATGAACTCGTTAGTTGGCTTGCTTACTAATTAACAAACTAGAAGAAAACTGACTTTCAACAACTAGCTTACTGAGTAGCTGGAAGGCTCACTGGCTAAGTGACTTGCTAGCTGACAGAGCGACCATGCAACCAAGTGGCCGGCCGGCCAACTGCATGCTGGCGAACGAACTAAGCTAGTACGAATGGAGATTGCTTAGTAAACAAAACAAGCAAGAATACCTAGCCAGCTTAGGTACTTTCTTGGCTGCTTGCTTCTTTACTCGCCATGTGATTTCCTGTTGGTTTTTAACTAATTCAGTGACTGACTAAGTAGCTAGCTAACCAACTAAAGCAATGGCTACTGACTGATTAAATAACTAAAATAACAAACTGACTAACTAAGCTAAACTAACTAACCTCAAAACAAACAAAAAAATCATCTAACTCCCGCACTACTAACCAACTTACCACCTGCCAACATACCAACTTACCTGCAAACCAAACCAACCAACCGACCAACCAAATTGAGACTAGCTAACCAACTGATTGACCAACTAGGCTTGCTGGCTGCCTGCCTGGCTGTCTGGCTGCCTGGCTGCCTGATTGACTGACTGAGCAACTAAGTCACTGACTGATAAACTAGCTGATACTGGCTGACTAAGTATCCGGCTGGTTAGCTGGCAGCCTGTCTGGCTAGCTACTTATCAAATGACTGGCTGTCTAACTTGGTAACCAGCCAGCTAACAATCCACACACGGGTTCCACCAGCTGTCTATGAGCGATCCCTGTCGCCCGAGCTTGAGGCAGGGTCACAGCCTGATGCGAATCCAAACTAGCAAATATATGCAAATGCCGAGCGATCACAAGCAATGTCAAAGAGATGTTTCAAGCGCACAATCAGGCTGTGCCTCGTCATCAGATAAAAGGTCCAGAACCTGGCAAGCCAAGTCTTTGGCTCATACCTTAACAATCCAAGTCCTTGAATGGGTTGGGTTCGATCTAAGTCGAGTCAAATGGTGATGAAGCTGGCATGCAACACGACGTATCACGATCTGGGCATTTGGCAGGTACGCCATCTGCCGTCCGTTGTGTATGATCCTGAAGGAAAAGCGGCGTAATACAAAGACTGCACGAGAACTTTGTCTTTCGCAAGCCTCGCAGGCCATGAAAACATCCATCGGAATATCCTGGCACTTGCCACCAGTCTAACGACACGCAAGACCACATCTTCGATTCCTCATTGTAGAAATCGTAGCCAGGCGTGTCCCTGGAAATAACGCCCTGCCATACAAACGAGAAACTCAAGCAAACAGCACAAATGTCCTGCAATGGTGCATGACTCCGCTTCAAACGGAAACTGCAATATGCCTTTACCACCCTGTGAATACCACTGCAAATTGACAACCGACCTTCTTGCTCTTTCTCTTCTGCTTCTTGGCCTGTGCTCACAATTTCAAAGGCCAGACTGCAACCTTCAGCTTGAAGCATGCTCGACACGCAATTCACGCAAAGAACATTTCAATTTGGCTTTACACCGAGTCATGCACAGGATTATTTGTGCAGGAAAAATACGTATCTATTCGACTTTTGCACGTCATACCATTTTCTGTCAGAAGACCGCCATGTGCTCGGTGGAAAGCCAATTGTTAGCATAAGGTCTGTATTTAAAAAAACAAATGCAATGCGGCCTCTGCAGCGTGTTCGCCAGCCTCACCTGCAAGCAGCAACTCAAAATATAGCTCAAAGTGCACCGAAACACCTTCTCCTCAAACTAAAGCTTTGCGGCAGTGGAATCTGCCACCATGCGGTCCCTGCTGAGTACGCTAAGTATGGTCGCAACGCAATCTCCGGCCTGCTACACCAAACGGGGCAGGCGCTGGAACAGACCTCTTTTCCATAACCGCAATGGCTGTTGGCTCTTGACCAGGAAGGAACTTTGACAGACTGGGTGTGCAGCTGAAAACACTCCAACTCCAGGCCTCAAGGGATGTTGGGACGTGCGCCATACTCGTTTCTGTCTATATAAGGCTAAGATCCGCACGTATGGCTTCTCGAGCAACCGGCCCTGCAAGACAAACAGGGCAACAGAGCTGGACTGCGACAGCAAGGCATCGATTCAACAAGTCTGGACATTGTTGCACTTGCATTGTGCATGCCTTCCGCCAGCCAATGCAGCCCCAGGTTGTGAAGCGTCCGGTCTTTTGCGGTTTTTAGAGAACTCCCCTGGCCTGGTTTGGCCAGCAAAGGGCCCACAATGTTCATCAGCGGGGGTGAAGTGCTGACCCACTCCTTGCGAAGGCGACGAGCAAAGAACATCCACTGCAGAACTGAATAAATACGCGGCACACTTGATAGCAATGTATTTTCTTGGTGCTTGCCCCCCGTGACATTTCAAGCCCTTCCTGCAAGCGGCGTTCAGAAGAATCATCTTCCTGAAGTGGAGGCTCGGGCTATCACTGGAGCGAACAGGTCAAGCACGTGCTTGATTCGCTAAGAAAAGAAAAAGAAGCTAGCGGCCCTCTCTCTGAACCCAGCACCTGGGCAGCATCTTGTCCATCAGCGACAATGGGCCTCAGTTCACTACCTGAGAGTGTTCTACAAATCCACTAGTCTCCAACATAGACTCTTGCAGGAGAACTTCCAATTTGGCTCTGACATGTCTACCACGAAAGCTCTGTGAGGTGAAACCCAGTCCAGCCCAATCTTGAAGACGGAAGACCTAGGCAAAACGGGAGACAGGTCGGATTTGATGCAAAGCTGGATGGTGCACCTTATCTGCAAGTCCGTAGCACCTTTTTTCCTCTGCATGCTTGGAAGACTGACTGCAAATGAATTCAAGCACGTGAGGAAAGGCGCTTTCAATGCGGTGAGTGTCCTCTGGCAAAAGCTGAAGCCTTGCGTTGCAAGCTCGCTGCACCAGAGTCTTGGAGCACTCAGGGGGGAGAATTTTGTCTCGTTCGCCATGAATCGCCAGGATGGGAACCTCAAGAAAAGGCAAAAAGACCATCATCGCCCTGGAAAAATCAATTGCAAAAATAAGGACAGTTAGCCAGAAGGCAAGAGAAGAGACTGAGACACTAGAACAACCTTCATGTGTAGAGCAAAACATCATGAGGTCACTCCCGCGTTGCAAGGGCCTCCAAGTGCTGCGAATCCCGCGTGCCGCTTGTCTGCCCTGCCAACGTTACGATTCCAGCAATGAGGGGCAAATGTCGCCGAAGATAGGCAGCCTGCAAGGTGAGAAATTCGCTAATCCATTGCATCTGACTACGCACATCCTCACGCAAAAATTGGAAGAGGGGAATATCAATTGTCCTCGACATGTAGGAACACTTCTCCCTTCTAAGTAAGTTAATACGCTGCAGCAATCTCAATAAAAGAAATAAGGCTGATAACATGCACCCTTGGAGCCTGCCTGAATCACTGCTGCTGACCCCATGGACCAGCCAACCAGTATGAGGCATCGGCAGTTCTGATTGGCAAGCCAGTCAATGCAAGTCATGACATCCTCCTTGGCTCAGTGGGTTCAATGATGCTATTCTGGCAAAGTCTGCATCACTGTTGCCAACAAATACCAGTCTGAACAGGGAGCATAGCTTCGGCAGCCTCTTCTTCGTCATCTCCTGGTGATCGGTAGGCCAGTTGCACCACTGTGAAGCCACTCTGGGGAAGATGTGATGCCAGGCGGTTGTACAAGCAGCTTGGACCCTCAAAGCAAGTGTAGCAACCTCAGAATGGGACAGAAAGGCATGCAGCGTGTGCAAAACAATGAACCTTGCATGTGCTCAAGCCTGACAAGGCTAAGAAACCGGCCTGGACAGCAAAGGACTGCTTGACT